CACACCACACACACACACACACCACACACACACACACACCACACACACACCACACACACACACACACACACACACACACTGCTGTCCCTCAGCACATCCCAAACTCTGTGGATCAGTTCAGTCCCAGGAGAAGTGCACAGTGCCTCTGTCCCAGGCCAGCTTTGCCTCTGTAGGCGCCGACGCCCCGGCTCTCTGCAGCAGTACACATCCGATTCCTTCCGAATAAAGCTGGACATTCTGGCTGGCTAAAAAGTAGTCGCGGTGTCTAGGCCGGATGCACCGGGAGGCATAGGCCAGCGGTAAGAAGCCAGGGACCCAAACGCAGGACCAGGCCCACTGCCCTCAGCCTGAACATGAAATCCCGGGAAGCAAGAACCTGTGCAGGAAGGGAGGCAGGCAAGAAGCCGGGCTGGCCTGGGCTGCGGAGGCAGAGCCCGGACTGGCCTGCGTGGGGGGGACCTCAAGCCCAGCTGGGACCAGACAAGCCCGAGGCCACAGCTGAACAGCCGGGACTCAAGACAAACAAGTTTAAAACTTAGGTGCCAACGTTTTAAACATGGCAGCTTTAAGTTTTAGACAATCAACACTACTGCCTTCTCCTAAGTAACGTCAACCCTTGGCAAAACCTCAAAGTCAAGGACACCAAGGGGCCGTGGCTGCGTGGCTGCCCTGAGTGCGGCCTGGCCGGGTCTGGCCGCATTCCCCAGCCCGCCTCCTGGGTCCCCAGACCCACGCTGTGGACCGGAGTGACATTGTGACTTCACCACTACCTCAGGAGCAGCGCTGGCACAGCGGGGCTGTGTCACCTTGAGACTGCACCGAGTTACGGCGTGAGAAAAGCAGGAAGGGGAAGCGAAACACGTACCTGGAGACCCGGAGTACCTGAGGGTCACCTGCTGCGTCTTCGCCTCCCCGGCCACGTTCTTCGCCATGCACTGGTAAATGCCCTGGTCGGCCTCCTGCGCGTTCTCGATCATCAGGGTCCCGTCATCCAGCAAGTTTAGGCGTGAGTCTGTCTCCATGCTCAGCTCATTGCTACAGACACAGAGACCCGGCGTGTGCCAAGGTTGGCGGCACAAGGACATCCACCCTGAGCCAGTCCTGGTTCCACCCAGACCCAGACCTCGGGATGCAGTGGCCGGGCCGGAGCCGAGGGCAAGGGGGGCTGTCTTCCTCCTCGCTGCCTGAGGGTTGGCGTGCACCCCCAGACACCCCCAGAGCAGCTCCTAGGCAGCTGCCCTGTTACTTAACCGACACATCTACTTTTATTATGCCCATGTCCAGTCTACCTAAACGCTTCTTTTCACCCCTGGAGCCGCTGGTAGTAATACCAGGGCTTGAACCCAGGGCTTCCCTAGTGCCATTATTTGGCTTTGTAGCTGGCACTCTACCACGTGAGCGGCAGCTTCACTCTAGCTTTTTGTCAGCGAATTGGAGACACAAGTCTCTTGGATTTGTCTGCTCCTGCCGACTCCAAACCTCAATCTCAGATCTCAGCCTCCCAAATAGCTCAGATGATAGGTGTGTACCACTGGTACCGGCTACCTAAACACTTCACGTAAACATGGTGCTGATTCCCAGGGGGGAAATAAACAGCAAAGAGAAAACTCAAAACGCTTTATTTCCACAAGTTATAGAAAGTGGTAAACATTTTTATGTGTTACCAAAATCAGGAGCTCTCTAGAAACTGCCTGTATTCTTTAGGCAGGATCAGTCTGCCTAGGGACATGCGCCTGGAGTCTGCGCAGAGGTCAGGGCGTCTCCCAGCCAGCTGTCACATGGAAGACAAGCCATGCGACCCTTTTCTCCTTCATACCTCTCTGCCTGGGCACAGAACAAGGCAGTGTGAGCACCAGCAGCTCGGTGCTCACGGGCCGTTGATGGACTTGGACATGGCGCCCGGCCCGGCTCTGGCCCAGCCCCACTCACTTGTTGCGAAGCCAGATGATCTCGGGCTTGGGGTTGCCCTCGGCCTTGCAAGTGAAGTACGCAGTGGTCCCCGAGGTGACATCCACATCCTGGGGCTCTGACGTTATCCGGGGCCTCTCTGTGCCCAACAACCAAAGGGAAGCATGGCCTCAGCCCGGTTGAACACGGTAGAGGGCTCAGAGCGGACACCAGCATGGGCTGGGGACACAGCGCCCTCCTCAGCACCGTCCCAGGGCCCGCCCGCCACCCCACGGGGCCCGCTCACCGCAGTTCAACTCCTCCGGGCTGATGGTGGCCACGGAGCGCCCCTGGATGCGTCTCGGGTACTCGCAGGTGGCCGCGGCCTGCGTGCTCCCCGACTGGGCGTAGGTCTTCAGCAGATCGGCCAGCCACAGGATCTCACAGTCGCAGTGAAGTGCGTTCGAGTCCAGCCGCCTACAGGGAGAAGCAGCAGCAGCTTTGGGCACCCGAATTATGGTGGGGGGGGTTGTCAATTCATCCTGGACCCATGTCTTCCGGGCATGGGTCACAGCCCTGGACCCCACTGGGGCCCAGCATGAGTCAAGGTGGGTGTGAGGGTCCCTCTGTGGCCAGGTGCCCTGAGAAGACCACCCCACACCTGCACTTGTCCCACAGAACAGGCCCGGCCCTGCTGCAGGGGTCAGCATCGTCTGACAAAAAGCCGGCTCCAGGCAGACTCAGCGTCCAGGCACGAGCAGACCCACAGCCCACCGTGGAGTGTCAAGGCCATTAAAGGTCAGCACTGGGATGAAGACAAGTTGAGGAAGGCATTGAGCTGGGCATGTGGCTCAGGAGCAGAGAGCCTGGCATGCGTGGGGCCCTGGGTTCAATTCCTCAGTGCCACATAATCAAAACTAAGGGGGGGCATCAGGTATGACAGCTGGCGCTCGACTCTGTCACTGGCACGCCGGGGGCTGGGCAGCAGGGAGCCAGGGTGCACTGAGCTGCAGTCACCCTCTGACTAAACCGAGCAAGGTGAAGCTGCGGGCAGCCAGCTCCATCCCCACCCCCCACCCTGGGCGGCCCCATTATCTTCTTCCTCCAACACGGAAGGTCCAGTCCACCTTCCCACCCAGAACGTGGGCCTCAGTGGAACTGATGGTGTCCAAAACAATAAACCGTAAGTAGTTTTGACAGTCTATATCCTCACTGAAAAGATAAAGCCAACCAAGCGACGGGGCTGACGACTCTGGCTGCCTCCTGAGTCTAGTTTATCACAGACACCCAATATTCCAGAGACACCTAACTGGAAAAAAAAGTGCCGCTGAGACCAGGGATGCCAAATCACCCTCTCCCATCTGGGCGAAAATGCGACTGCCATTGTAAGGGTTACTCAGTGGGAAATGGCTGCTGCTCTGGGGGACTCCACTATGAGTCTGCTGCAGTCTGCTTGGAATAGAAGATTCTTTTCATGCTGGATTTTATTCTCCCTACTCAAATGTGTATTTCAGAACTAAAATGGTAATGGGAGGAATTCCAGCACATGTTAAACTTTACAGCCACCTCTGAGTCCTGCCTGCTGGGCTGGGCTGGGCTGGGCTGGACAGCGGGACATGGGGGTCTGATTCCTTCCATAGTGCTCTCTGAGGGCTGGGGAACGAGAAGTAATGGGGAAGAGAGGCGATCGTGACATCTACATTACACTATCTCCCTGAAAAGGCAAGACAAACACCCTGCGGTACAGGGTTGCTCCTGGGAGCCAGCCAGTCCTCCCATGGGCCAGGCCAGCTGTGGGCAGAGCCCCCTCCCCCCACAGAGCAGCCAGGAGGGACGGGCAGAGCCCCCCCACAGAGCAGCCAGGAGGGGCGGGCAGAACCCCCCCACAGAGCCACCAGGAGAGGCGGGCAGAGTCCCCCCACAGAGCCACCAGGAGAGGCGGGCAGAGTCCCCCCACAGAGTGACCAGGAGGGGTGGGCAGAGCCCCCCCACAGAGCCACCAGGAGAGGCGGGCAGAGTCCCCCTCACAGAGCCACCAGGAGAGGCGGGCAGAGTCCCCCCACAGAGTGACCAGGAGGGGTGGGCAGAGCCCCCCCACAGAGTGACCAGGAGGGGTGGACAGAGCCCCCCCCACAGAGCAGCCAGGAGAGGCGGGCAGAACCCCCCACAGAGCAGCCAGGAGGGGCGGGCAGAACCCCCCACAGAGCAGCCAGGAGGGGCGGGCAGAGCCCCCCCACAGAGTGACCAGGAGGGGTGGACAGAGCCCCCCCCCAGAGCGGCCAGGAGGGACGGGCAGAGCCCCCCGACAGAGCAGCCAGGAGAGGCGGGCAGAGCCCCCCACAGAGACACCAAGAGGGGCGGGCAGAGCCCCCCACAGAGACACCAAGAGGGGCGGGCAGAGCCCCTCACAGAGACACCAAGAGGGGCGAGCAGAGCCACCCCCCCAGAGCGGCCAGGAGGGACGGGCAGAGCCCCCCCCAGAGCCACCAGAGGGGCGGGCAGAGCCCCCCACAGAGACACCAAGAGGGGCGGGCAGAGCCCCCCCCAGAGACACCAAGAGGGGCGGGCAGAGCCACCCCCCCAGAGCGGCCAGGAGGGACGGGCAGAGCCCCCCCCACAGAGCAGCCAGGAGGGGTGGACAGAGCCCCCCCCACAGAGCCACCAGGAGAGGCGGGCAGAACCCCCCACAGAGTGACCAGGAGGGGTGGACAGAGCCCCTCCCCCCACAGAGCCACCAGGAGGGGCAGGCAGAGCCCCCCACAGAGTGACCAGGAGGGGTGGGCAGAGCCCCCCCCAGAGCGGCCAGGAGGGGCGGGCAGAGCCCCCCACAGAGCCACCAGGAGGGGCGGTCAGAGCCCCCCCAGAGCCACCAGGAGGGGCAGGCAGAACCCCCCCACAGAGACACCAAGAGGGGCGGGCAGAGCCCTCCCCAGAGCCACCAGGAGGGGCAGGCAGAGCCCCCCACAGAGCCACCAGGAGGGGCGGGCAGAGCCCCCCACAGAGCAGCCAGGGGGGCGGGCAGAGCCCCTCCCCAGAGCGGCCAGGAGGGGTGGTCAGAGCCCCTCCCCAGAGCGGCCAGGAGGGGCGGGCAGAACCCCCCCACAGAGCCACCAGGAGGGGCGGGCAGAACCCCCCCACAGAGCGGCCAGGAGGGGCGGGCAGAACCCCCCACAGAGCAGCCAGGGGGGCGGGCAGAGCCCCCCACAGAGCAGCCAGGAGGGGTGGGCAGAGTCCCCCACAGAGCCACCAGGAGGGGTGGGCAGAACCCCCCCACAGAGCCACCAGGAGGGGTGGACAGAGCCCCCCACAGAGCCACCAGGAGGGGCGGGCAGAGCCCCCCACAGAGCCACCAGGAGGGGCGGGCAGAGCCCCCCCACAGAGCGGCCAGGAGGGGCAGGCAGAGCCCCCCACAGAGCGGCCAGGAGGGGCGGGCAGAGCCCCCCACAGAGCAGCCAGGAGGGGCGGGCAGAGCCCCCCCACAGAGCGGCCAGGAGGGGCAGGCATAGCCCCCCCACAGAGCGGCCAGGAGGGGTGGGCAGAGCCCCCCACAGAGCGGCCAGGAGGGGTGGGCAGAGCCCCCCCACAGAGCGGCCAGGAGGGGCAGGCAGAGCCCCCCCACAGAGCGGCCAGGAGGGGTGGGCAGAGCCCCCCCCAGAGCCACCAGGGTCTTACTTACAGCCGTTTCATGGAGTCCAGGTGGTTAAAGGTCCCCTGTACAAGATGTGTGATCCGGTTGTTATGTAAAAATCTGTTCCAAGAGAAAAACAGAACAGGCCACTCTTAGAAAACACTTTTCCAGACTCAAGGACACAAGGACGGTAAGCACTCACACGCCCAGCATTTTTTCAAAGCGTCTGTGAGTTAGAGTTAATACAAATGAACGTTTTGAAAGTAAGGCTCTTCCCCCTAGAAAATAACTCGGACTTTTTTCCTGTTTAGTCTTAGGCCAAGCCCCACGGCTGACGGCCGGGCCAGGGGAGCTGTGCACAAAGCAGAGGCTGGTACTCGGCCTGTCTTCATCGATGGGCAGCGTGGGCAGGACCCCCCTCACAAAATGCGAAGTAAGACGGACTCACAGCCTCTCCAGCTTCGGTAAGCGCTGAAACGACTCTGGGTCCACAGTTTCTATCTGGTTAAAATGTAGGTATCTAGGAGTTTAAAAGAGACACATCATGTATGCAGTGTGATGGTTTCTCAGGTCTGCATGCTCTGCTTTAAAACCTTTCCTGACCCTGGAAATCTCTACATTCCCTATTCCTGAGCACAAGACAAGCGAAAGCCCTTCAGGAAGATGGGACACAACCGAAGACGTCACAGCACGGGAGCTTCGGGTCCACAGAGACCCCGCAGCCAGCAGCCAGCAGAGGCCCAACCTGACACACTCACCTCTGAAACACTCAGGACCTCAAAAGGACAATGCCAACACAATCGTGAAGTCAGCATCTATATCCGTCTTACAACACCCGTGCTTTGCTCTTCCACTGGCTTGCGGGAGCCCGAACCTTAATGCAGCCCTATGCGATCTGTCAGGCCTATCACCAGGCTCAGCAGAGGCAAAAGACAGCGTGCCCTCAGGGTCTGGCATCCTCCCGTGTGTCCCATTACGTCTTTGGTGTAACTCAACTCTTCTAATTCTACAGCTTCTCCCTTTCAGAACACAGGGATGCTTTCCTCAAGGCCATGCCTCCTGGAAGCGTCGGCAGATACCCCACTCAAGAGGGTCTTCCAGAGGGTGGTCCCCGAGATAAGGAAATGCTCCTTCCTCCACAAGTGGCTGTGACCAAAACCACCAGCAGAGCCAACCCCCAGCAGTACCAGGCTCTGTGCACAACTGCAAGCGAGAGTGTCAGTCACCACTTGGACTGGCTCTGAAATGATTAAAGGTCCCAAACTCAAACTCCTTCCCCTGGGCAGGGCTCGTCGGTCCCGCAGGCTCCTTCCCCTGGGCAGGGCTCGTCGGTCCCGCAGGCTCCTTCCCCTGGGCAGGGCTCGTCGGTCCCGCACGGCCAGCAGCCACCACTGGGCTTGGCACAGCACCTCCCTGACTTAGGGTGTCCGCACCCACCATCTTCTTGAGAAAACAAAGCAAGGCAAGCAGAAAGAGGAAGGCACGGAGGCCACTAATCTCCCAGGACATCTGACCTGAAGATCTCAAAGTGGGTAAGACCACGCAGAAACCCTCAGTTTCTATCCCCAGAACCTGGGTCTGTGCCAGGCATATGCGGACAGATAACACGTGGCCCTCAAGGTCCCTGGCCTCAGTGGCTCAGACGCAGACACCATCAGGGAGCAGCCAGGGAAGGCTCTGGCTGGCCAGGAAAGCCAAGAGCCGGGCTGGAAGAATGAGCTGAGGCCGGCAGAGGAAAGCAGGGGCGCTGACGTCTGTCTCTAAGGCGGCAGCTCAGGACTGTACGGTGAGCCTGGCAGGCAGGAGGAGCCAGCGGGGCCTGGAGCTCCTGCCTGAAGAAGCATAGGTCTTGGGTGTCCACTCCCTGGACAGCTCAGCAAAGCTCCGCAGGAGCAGGAGCTGCCAGGCTCCAGCTGCGGCGGAGATGCTCAGAGGCCCAGTGGACCCAGCATGGCTTCACAGACCCCACCCTCTACTTCAGGGCCTTGCGCTGTGCTGCCCACCTTCCCCTGCGGGAGGCAAGGACGCAGACAAGAACACAAGCGTGAGCAAGGAGGCGGGTAAGGAGCAGACAAGGATGCGGGAAAGGACGCACTTCTAGATGGAAGGCTGCAGAGACACTGTGCTGGGACAGGCCGAGACTGACAACCGTCAGGGACTGCAGGTGCGCCTCCCACGTGCTGCTGGTGGCCTGCTTTTGTCCCCTAAATGCACTGTAGGACTCTTAAACGGAGCAGAGAGCCGGCTCCGGACTGGGACTTTCCAGCTGCTGTCCCATGCCAGCGTCCACCTCCCAGAGCAAACGGCCCAGCGCCACCAGCCCACACCACTGAGCCACGCGGCCCCTCGTCCGCCCACCTGTCCCAACTGTGTCCCTCCACTGGACTTGCAGCCTGGCTGAAAATGGCCCCCAGGCACCAGAACCTTGCTGACACAAGAGCCTCCCCGGTGTGTGCAGTCCTCTAGATAGTTCCATGGGTCTCTGCCGTGGCGTGAAGCTTGCTTCTGTCTGAGACAGTTCTACAGTAACTGCAAATTCTCACGCATGCTCAGTCACTACCCAGCAAGCAGAGCGGAAGCTAAGCACTTGGACACGTAAATATGTGTGGAGCACAGGCTCACAGCGTGCATCCTGGGCACGGGGCACCGGGCTGGGCCTGGGACTGGGCTGGCCCCTCTCCTGACTGCTGTACCCAGACTCCAGGGAAACAGAGACCCAGAGCAGAAGGCTGACTTCCTCCTGCACAGAACTCCACAGGTCTCCCCTCAGGTGTGAGGAAGGCTGTCAGGAAACCCACAGAAGACCTTTATGCTTTTAACAGAACTTTGTATTTAAACAAAAATCATGCTGACTTCACAGAGAAGAACGACGTCAGATGCACGGGCGCGGGCACAGCGCTTGGTCACGCGCATTTACTGCATGGTGGGGAGAGCTGTGTCTTCCCCAGACACTGACACACTGGGCGAAGACATGAACTCTGAGTGCAGAGTGAGCATCCCAGTCTCTCACCCACGGAGACCCAGGGGCCCTGGCCATGCCCGGACTCGATCAGCCTTGCACGTCTGTCTCATGCACTGTGACAACCACTGTTTCTGTGGGGCAGATGGGTGATCCTCCTGCTCCTGGGCTGGTGTATGCGAGGCCCAGGGTCTGGGCACAGAGGACACAGCTTCCCTGCCACTCGGTGACGCTGGGCCCAGTGCCAGGTCAGACATGCCACGCGTCCTCCCTACCCCGGGCGGCTCCGACATGCACCATGCAAAGAGCAGGCCTGGCCCACTCTCCCTGCGGAGGCGGAGGGCAGGTGACACCCAAGAGCTGAGGCACGGCGGGAAGGGGCACTTACAGTTGCTCTAGAGAGGTAAGTCCCTTAAACGCTTGCCTGTCAATTGACTGGATTTCATTCTTGTACAAATAGCTGCAAGAAGAAACATGGAGGGTGTTAGCGCACACAGAGAGGCCGCGGCTCCCATGGAGAAAAAGAATCTGTTGACACAATTGGCGACTGCATTAGGGGGCAAACAACACATCGGGCTGAGCGCAGTGCTGCTCACAAACCTCCCCTCTCTGCCTGCACCGTAAGTCGGGCAAAAGCGGCCGGTCCAACCTAGGTGACCGACAGTGCCGCTGCCAGGTACACATAGACTGGCCCGCCGTGGCTGGCAAGCTCCCCGGACACGTTTGCTTCCAACCATGGAGAAAATAAAACCATCTCCCCACATCCACAGTAAGACGCCGCTGCCGAGCCAGCACAGCCCCAAATTAACTCAGAAACAGGACCAGGCTGTGGCTCGGGTGGTAGAACACCAGCCTAGCAAGCTCCAGGCCCTGATTTAACCAAAAAAGAAAAAAAAAATCCAGAAATAATTAGCAGGACAGACAACAGAGAGTCTGAAATGCCTTGAATTGCTCCCACTGGCACCTCATACAACAGAAGCAGCAAAGCCTCTCAGAGGAACGTGCCAGGGCCAGGCACCAGCAGCTCACGCCTATAATCCCAGCTACTCAGGAGGCTGAGATCTGAGGATAATGGTTCAAAGCCAGCTTGGGCAGGAGATACCATGAGACTCTTATCTCAAAGGAGCTACTCAAAAAAGCCAGAAGTGGCACTGTGGCTCAAGTGGTAGGGCGCTCACCTGAGGCAAGGACCCACAAAAAAACAAAAACAAAGAAGAGTAACATGTCAGGGCCAAGTATGGATGGCTGAGTTCCCCCCTTCCAGAACAGAAAGGCACCGTGGCTCATGCCTGTAGTGCAGTTATTCAGAATGCAGAGGCAGGGAGGTTCAGTCTGAGGTGTGCCCAGGCCAGAATGAGATCATATCTGAAAAACAAACTAACAGCATAAGGACGGAGGTTGGCCCAAGTAAGAGTGCTTGTGCAGCCAGGATAAGGCCGAGTTGTTTTAAAAAGAGAGAGAGAGAGAAAGCCACATGTCCCAGTAGGTCTGCTTTTGTCTAACCTGCGAACTACAAACAGACTTACATTACTAAGTGGGTGAAGTTGTCAGAAAAAGACCAATACTTTATGACTACAGGAGATTCCTTTTCCAAGGCCTCGGTAGGCTGTTCTTGGAACACAACCTCCCTCATGGCCCCTGGGTAGTTTCTGGTGCTTCTGTGCTGCGTGGACAACTGAGCAGCCTGGTCCTGTGCAGAGAAAGCTCCAGAGCCCTGCACAAACCTAGCATACAAGTGAAGAGACACCGCAAAGCACCCTAGTTCCAGAGGGAGCACGGGTAGGTGTGGCTGGGGATCAGGGGCTCACGCCTGTAATCCTAACTAGATCTGAAGATCCAGGCTCAAAGCCTCGTCAGAGCAAAAAGTCCATGAGACTCTCCAAAATTATCAAAGAGCCACAAGTGGAGCTACAGCTCAAATAGGAGAGCACCAGCTTTGAGCAAAAAGGCCAGGAACAGCACCTAGGCACTGAGTTCAAGCCCCAGGACTGGCACGCATACATAGATGCACCCATGTGCATGCACATGCAAGCACGCACACACATGCACGCACGCGCACGCACACACACACACACACACACACACACACACACACGGAGGTGGGTATAAGAGCTGAACTTTGCTGCACAGCTGGCCCCTGTGGCACTGGGGCTGGTAACAGGTTTCCACCTTGATACAGAGGACCTGCCTCACTCTTCGTGGGACCCACCGGGCCTTCTCTCACAGGAGGAAGACCTGCCAATCAGATCCACGCTTTCCTGCATGGCCAGGTCAGGCAGGCACTGCGCCACCTGGTGGCGTGTCCGTGCGGCTACTCTCCTGAGTGAGCAGCCCTGTCTCAGCCCTGTCCTACCGGCAAAGCATGAGCTCTGTGCAGCCCTGAACTCTGGGTGCAGGCCCCGTTTCCCTCCCTGCCCCGGCTCGGGCCCCTTCTCCCCGCTGGCTCTAGGCCTTCCCTATGTTCCCACCTCGTCCCTCTGTAATTGCTGGCAACATGAAGGAGCTACGAGGAGCTACTACACATGGCCAGGTACACCCCACCTGCGATCAACGGCCAGGGCCCTCACGAAGCCAGGAGCGGCCTTCAATTCTCCAGGCTGTTTCACTTCTGCTTGCTCTGTGACTCTGGAGCCTTGGTTTCTTCCATAAATGGACAGGTGCTGGTAATGCAGTTAGTGAGTACAGAGCTTCTAGGATACGGCATTACTGCTCAGGCCTCCCTGGGCCCAGTGGCTCCACAGGTCTGAGCCATCCAGCAGAGTCTGAGCTCACTTCCTGAAGCAAAGCACAGCACCGAGGAGACCCCACACACCCTTCTAAAAAGGGAGTAATAGCTGGGCACTGGTGGCTCACACCTGTCATCCTAGCTACTCAGGAGGCTGAGATCTGAGGATCACGGTTCAAAGCCAGCCTGGGCAGGAAAATCTGTGAAACTCTTATCTCCAGTAAACCACCAGAAAACCGGAAGTGGCACTGTGGCTCAAGTGGTAGAGCCCTAGCCTTGAGCTGAAGAGCTGAGGGACAGCGCCCAGGCCGAGTTCAAGCCCCACGACCAACAAGAAAAAAAAGGGGGGGAGGTAATAGAATCCTTTGGAAGAATATGTAAACAAGTAAATCCAATACAGATGCGTTTTTCAGACATTGGTGGTGGGATGCTTGTTTATCACAGGCTGAGCTCTGGGTTCTACCCCCAGCACTACAAAATTTAAAAATAAAACAATAAGTAAAAAAGTAGTCCTATTTCATAATAATAGTGATGCTACGGTAGGGAGTTATAATGACTTGTAACTCTCTTTGTCGCAGAGTTGAATCTTGCCTACCAAGTTCAGTGGCAAGAATTCTATCGTCAGGATATAGGAATTCAAGGGAAGGCTACTGAGGTTTCCATGAAAGACTACTGACTTCCAGGGACGTCACTTTGGCACTGACCTAACATGTAGGGCTGAAATGATGATAAATTTCAGGCAAGTCACTAAACATTTAACATACTCTACAATGACCGTGCAAGGGTATTCAGCCAAGGACCCCAAGTGATTGGGAGAAGAAATCAGGCCCTGCATGTGGAGGGCCGCTCCGCCCTGGGCCCTAGCCTGCCTCCCACACCTCCTTTACCAACACCTTCACCCCACCCCTGCGGCCCATGTCACAGACTTCACCTGGGAGGGAAAGAAGAGGCCTGGGCACCCATGCTTAAGGGTGCTAGGTAGTACTTAAGTGAGATTGTGAGGAACAGCACCCCACACTGCCTAATGCTGAGCATGTCTTCATACCCTTCATCTGATGTAAAACCAAGAACAAAAGTAGGGTTAAAAGTACAAGTACACACACACACATGCATACACGCACATACACACACACACATATGCACACACGCACACACACACACCCCACAGGCTTAGCTGTCAGCTAACTGTGCTGATTTTCCAGGAAATGAGAGCTCCCTTTCAGAGCTGGCATGGTAATTAAAAATAACAGCAACCTAAGACTAAAAACTCAAAGGAGATCTTTCCTGTCCCTCCTTGGAAAAATTACTAATATACGTACAGCATTAAAATATCAGCTTTCTATTCCGAAGATGGGAAAGGGACTTGGCACATATGTTTCATTAAGGAAAATACATTTTTTATACCAGTTAGAGATAGTCCTGTAATTGGGAACCACTGACACCTAATACCAAAACAGATTCCAAATACACATCCACACAACCTAACTGCTTTTAAACTCAGCCTGTAGTTGTAGCTGAGTTACAGCACTCACAGAGTAACTGATGCAAACCCTTCATTAAAATGGCTCACTTTGGAACACCAGTCTTAAAAGGAAGAGCAATTTGCTGAAACCAAGTAGCAGGACTTCTAACCTATCCAGACCCAGGCAAGACCAGCGTTTCCCTCTGCAGAAGGTGGCCAGCCTGCACGGAGGGCACAGAGCAGCATGTCCACAGGCGACGGCTGTAGACTTCGGCAAGCAAGTTTTAAACGATAGTTGTGGCAGATCAATTTTTAAAAGCTAAGTTAAAACTTCCCTAGATAAAAGTAAGAGGCAAACCTATTGAGAACCTTAGCAGGAGTTAGTGAGATTCCACCCCAGCTACAAAAACAATGGCATCTAGCAGCAAAGGTTCATTCGCTGGGCGTCTGTGAGGCCGCCGTCCCCCCCCCCCCCCCCGGCCACCCGACTTGTGCACTGTGTGCTGACTCCATTTCAGCCTGGCTCTTACACCACCGGCAACTCATTTAAAACTGAATCCCGCCACCATTTCACTCACCTGGAAAGAAGCCCCTTGGGCGGATGAACTATTCACAGAACTTCATTCATAAGGAGCAGACCGTGAGGTTACATTTAAACATTCTAAACACAGACAACACAGGCATGCGAGTTAAAAAAACTGGCCACTGACTTACAGATATTTTAAATTTTCCAAGTCTTCAAACGCCCCACTGGGTATCCTCTTGATCTGATTATTGTTCAGAAGCCTACAAAAAAGAAAATTCCAACAGAAGTTAACAGAGCAAAGAGACAAGGCCAAATCTATTTGATCTGCTGAAGAAACACCTTGTGGTGCTGGGGAAGGACGGAGGCCCAGACCCAGCAAGATGGAGCCGCGTGGCTTCTACCGACACCACACCTTTCCCCTTCACATCCAGGCGAGAACTAAATCCTCTGCGAGACTAAAGGGTGGGCATCACTTCCTGCCACGCCCACTGACCACTTTGGCTGGTTTGTGGCCAGTCGGAAGCCACCATGGCAGCACAGGTGTGTCCTGAGAGGCGTCCAGCCCTGCCCTCCCGGGGACTCAGAGGATCCTCTCTCCTCAGCCCAGCCAGGCGTCCGAGGCAGCTCTGTTGCTAGGTGGGCCCAACCAGCTCCCAGGAGGTCCAAGACCTAGGGCGTAATTCAGAGGCTTGAGAACCTTGTCTCAACCAGATGGAGCTCAGGCTAAGCCTCAACACGGAAGAGGCCAAGGCAGGCAAGAAGCAACCCAGCCCTGCCAGCACAGGATATATGAATGTGTTTACCTATGAGAGGCAGGGACTCCACACAGGAGTCAGACTCACCGCCGCCCAGCTTCCGATATCACAGTCCATCTCCACCCCCCCCACCTCCCACCGAGGATAAGTGGGTAATGAGCAGAGCGCCAGTGCTACCTGCGGGTGATGCTCACTGTTCATTTGTTTTCTGCCTAGGTCATCAGCCAAACACTTCAACTTACAGTGTATTCAGCTTCTGCAGCTGCCGGAATGCCCCAGGTTGGATCTCTCTGATTCTGTTAAACCGAAGGTCCCTGTGAACAAAGGGCATGGTTGGCACAGGAGAGAAGCTCAGGGCCACGGCCAAGCCCGTCCTTCCCACTTTCCAAACGGATTAAATTGCTCAAGTTGCTCTTGGCCGTCTGATCTTGTTGAGCCCAGTCAATGTTTGGGACAATGCCCACAGTAAGGGAATTTGTTTAGACAGTCAGGATGGGAGATGAGATTGCATTAACTACCTACGCATGCCATCACTGGCAGAAATTCCAGGACAACTCACTTGGGTAATTCTGCACAAGGCAGCCCTGCTGTGCAACCAAGAGTGCAAAGCCTGCGCCGAGGCCAGGAATTCCACCAGCCAGGACTTGGCTGATCACCAGGTGCCTGCCCACCGCACTGTCTCCAGGAAGGCTGCCCCAAAGCACAAAGCCAACTCAGCATGTGCATCAGGAGGAAGAGGCCGTCTAGTGCATGGCTTTGACCTCATGTCCCCGACAGGTACGCTTACACATGCACGGCTAAAACGGTATTTGTTTTTTTCAGGAGCCAGGTGAGACTGAGGCCTCTTCCATCACCTTGTGAGCTCCTTCTCGTCTATCTTCCCAAGGATCATTTAGTAACTGTCGGTGGATCCCAGCACCGGGCCTAGCTAGCTTTTGGTTCAGCACAACCTATTTCAAAACACTTTCGTTTAACACTGGAAAATCAACTGTTTAGCTTTAGAGACAGCAAATGAAACTGGTCCTTTCTGGCCCAAGTTCTGTGTTTGGAGTCAGGGCCTCCAGGGAAGGAAAGAGGAAGGCCAAGGGCCTTTCCTCCCCAACCCCCACAGTTCCACCTCGGTCCGAGGTCCACACTAGCCTTGGCCTGGATGTGCCACTGTAGCCCCGACAGTCACACAAGTGGGGCTTTGATTTAGATGCACATCAGAGAGCCACAGAATCCACATGGAGACAGGCTGAGCATCTCAGTCACGGAAGGGAAGTGCCAAAAGAGTCCAAGTCCACCGCCAGGCCGGCAGCCCGCAGGCCAGGAGGGAGGTCTTCAACTAGGCAGGGAGCGCTGGCCACTGCCACCATGCCACAGCGAGGCCTAGGCCACCACACAAGGAAGGGAACAAGCAGACAGCACCACGTGCCACGAGTGACACCACTGCCAGACTCCACACCAACTCCAAAGCACAGAACAGCAGTCTCCTTTCGGCTTTTTTTGGGCCACTTAAAAATGTGAAATGTTGGGACTGGGAAGATGGCTCAGTGGTAGAGCGCTTGCCTTGCATGCATGAGGCCCTGGGTTCGATTCCTCAGCACCACATAAGCAAAAAGAAAAAAGCCGGAAGTGGCGCTGTGGCTCAAGTGGTAGAGCGCTAGCCTTGAGCTGAAGAGCTGAGGGACAGCGCCCAGGCCCAGAGTTCAGGCCCACAACCGGACCCTCCCCCCCCCAAAAAAAATGTGAAATGTAAGCCAGGCGCCGGTGGCTCACACCTGTCATTCTTGCTACTCAGGAGGCTGAGACCTGAGGATCACAGTTTGAAGCCAGCCGGGACCCAGCCAGAGGCCCTCCGACCCCGCAGATCTGGCTCACCGTTCTCCCGGCCAATCCAGCCCTGCTTTTATTGCGGGAGCAGAGTGTTCTAGACCTCGTGCAAACGCACCAATCCATGCAAAGCACCCCCTGTGCTTTGTGAATAAACAACAATAAGCTGTTTCATGCACACTGTTTCCCTGGAAACAAAACCCAAAACTGCTTCCACAGATGTTGAAAACTACCATCACTTTTGTCCAGACAAACACTGGCCAGACCGTGTACCCCTGGCCTCTTCTGCCCCAGGAAGCTCCCCACCCCCTGACCCCGTGTGCCATGCCCAAGCATGCCAGCAGTCACGTGACCAGAGGGCCAGAGTCCCATGCGCCTCCCAACCGCACAGATGAGCATGAAATCCACCATTCCCCAACAAGTGTGTCAGAGAACACATGAGCAGAGGATTTCCTCCTAATCGGAGACCACCAAGAAAGCCCCGGGCCGCTTCCCAGCAGGGCCAGGCCATCCCAGGAGATGGGAAATGGGGCTCCTGCGTGTGCTAAAAGGGTTGTGTCAGTCTTCCTGTTATGGAAAACAAGATGCAGGTGTACAGTGCGACCATCCTCCTGACTGAGAAAGCAGACGTGGGCAGGGCCCCGCGGCTTCCGCTCACCTCCCAGGCCAAGGCCACGCCGCCCGCCTCAGATCCCAGAGATACAAGTTCTCAGGGAGGCAGGATTCCGGCTCCAGTCTGGCAGCCGGACAGGACACAGGGCACAGGGGAGAGAGAACCGAGTGCCAGGCTCTGCCACAGTGGCTCCTCTGCACCCCACACCCACACCCCATACCCTCATCATCCCTCACCCCTCACCCCGCGCCCCTCCCCCGCACCCCCACCCCCGTCATCCCTCACCCCTCACCCCACGCCCCTTACCCCCATCATCCCTCACCCCTCACCCCACGCCCCAGGCTGCGGCTAAAAGACCCCTATTCAAGGCTGGGTATTTCCTCGTGCAAACAGGCAAACAACACAGTGCACTACACACAAGACGTCTTTTCCTCCCGACGGTGGCCCTCACTCCTCACTACAGTGCGGGGCAGGCTCCTCTTCTCCAGTCCGGCGGCCACAGGCACAAGGCCAGGGAAGTGCCAGGAAGGCCCGCCGTGCCCCTCTGCCACAGGGCTGGCTTCGGACGGCACCCTGGGCACGGGGCCTCAGTGACTTGTGGGGCCTCGGTGCCTGGGGGGCCTCCAGGCCAAGTCCCCCCAAGTCTCCGGGATTCTTCAGGCCCATGCGGGGCAGCACCCAAAGTCACCCCTAGAATTAACCCCAGCTGTGCCTCGGTTCAGACGTGTGCACTGCTTGTGTAAGCCCTTGCGTTAAGCTGCTTACATTTAAATTCTGAACTTAAAGCCCAGAACAGGAGGCTTGTGACTCACCCTCCCCACTGAAGAGGCTCCGGAGGGGGCTCGGTGTGCGTGCTCCTCCCTGACAACAGCGACGCCCCACAGGCCAGCACATTCCGAGCTGTCTGTCTGCGGCCCAGGCTCTTTGTCTCTTTCAGAGCCCCTGCCCCGGCTGAGGACTGCGGCCTCAGCACCTTTTCCCACTGGGTGATCACAGGCCGGGGTCAGAGCTCCGCAGAGAACAAAGCACGCCGGCACAGGCCGTCTGCACAGGGCCAGCTGACAGACAACCGTCACCCGCGGCAGGCGACCGTCATCAGTGCACGACCAGGCCACCCAACGCTTGTGGAGGAAGACTGCGTCCAGCAGGACAGGGTCCCCGGGCGGCTGACCGAGGGACCGCTCCAACGTCATGGCCTCCTGCATGGACCCAACGGCTCCTCCACACCTGGACCTGTGGGACGCTCACCACCACGCCACACTGGCCGCCCTGCTAACGGTTTACCTAACCCGCCACACGAACGCACACCAGTGAGTCCTCAGGCCTGAGTAGTCCCACATCTGTGCTGAAGGAACCCAGGCCCCATGTGAACACAAGACCCTCATCGGTGCCGAGCACAGGGCCCCAATGAACACAGGGCCCACATCAGTGCTGACCACACCCCCCCCATCCCGGCCTGCGGCAGCCCCCAGGAAGAGCAGCATGGGTGCCTCGGGCTCTGCAGGCCCTCGCTGGACGTTCACTGCCACCAGGACTGCAGCCCAGAGGGGGAGTTCTAGAATGTGACCCAGGCTGCTTGTGAGTGGCTGGCGGTGCTGCCAGAGAAGCAGGATCTGTGCCCTAGTGAGCACGGCACAGGGCACGCTGCCGGAGGACCTGGGGCTGCTCCACGCTGGGTGACCTGGAGGAGGAGCCTGAAGGGCACCGCACGGTCCCCCGAGTGACTGCACCACACTGCCCTCCGTGAGATACCAGCACACTCCACACCTGCCCCAGTCCACGACCCTGCTTCCCAACACACGCAGGGAAGGGCCCTGCCGTCCCCTCCCAGCCCACAGCCCTCCCTGATTGGCTTCCATACCTGGCAAACAGCGCAGCCTACCTGCTCCTCGGCGCGGGCGCGGCTCACGGCATGTTTCGCTGGGTTTTGGCAGTTGTGGGTATGGATTCGCGGCCTCGCGCGGGCTAGGCCCATCTCCTTCCACTCTGGTGTCTCATGAACAAGTCTCACGGGCCTGCCCAGGCTGCCTCCACCCGCTGGGAATGCAGGCCTCAGTCACGCTGCCCGGCCCACCAACAGATGTCCCTAACTGTGTACCCGTAAGTATCTGTCATCCTGGTAACAATATGTGTCCTTCCTTCCCTTCTTCTTCCCTTCCTTCTTGTTTTCTTCCTTCCACCCTGGACCTCCCCCTTCTTCCTCCCCGGGTCCCTCCGTGGGTCTCTGTTCTGTATCCGGGGACCACTGCACCAGTGCTTTACAGATCAGGGCCGTGGTCAGGCAGGTCCAGGGTCAGGAGGGAAAGGAGGCAGGAGAAACCTCAGAGAGGCAAGAAATACAACAGAGACAAAAAGCAAGAATTAGCTGAACATGGTGGCTCATACCAACAGTCCAGGGTCCTGAGAAGACAGAACAGAAGATTGAGGAACACAATCGGCCTGAACAGGGGAATCTACAGGACACTATCTCCAAAACAACTAGCAAAATGCAGGACTAGCGGCGTGGCTCAGGCTGCAGAGCACGAGCTGTGAGCAAACAAGTCAGGAGAGCACAGTGCCAGGCATAGAGGAGACAGAGGGACGTTGGAGAGAACACTCTGCATTCCAGGAACCCCTCACAGCACAACAGAGGCCCTGGGGCTGGCCCTGCCTGGAGGGGCCGTGCCTGAAGTTCAAGTTCACAGCCCACGGCAGGCAGCAGAGCTCCTCCCAGTCTACAAAGCTGCTCCTCGCTCCTGGGCCCCCCGGCTGAGGGAAGGGCCTGACATGCTAACTGCCTGAGGCTGACCCTGTGGAGAGCCCATTCTGCTCTCCTGGAAGCCTACTGACTTCACAAGGACCTCTCCTAGGAAACACCTTCCCAGAAACATCTAACGAGGTTGGCATACGAGGCTGACCCGCAG